TATTTGCTCACCTTTCTTCCCATATCTCTATAGCATCATTCTGAATTTACTTCTCTTTGTACTGGAGTTTTTCCTCCCCAAAGTTAGTTTACTTATTTATTATTAATACATTGTGCTAAAATATGCATGACATAAAATTTATCATTCTAACCATTTTTAATTTTTAATTGTGATATAATACACATAACATAAAATTGACCATCTTAACCATTTTTAGGTGTACAGTTCAGTGGTGTTAAATGCATTCACATTGTTGTAAAACTACCCCCACCCTCCATATCAGGAACTGTTTTCATCTTCCCAAACTGAAACTACATATTCATTAAACAATAACTCCCCATTTACTTCTCTCCCAGGCTCCTGGCAACTACCATTCTATCTTCTGTCTCTATGAATTTTATTACTCTAGCTACCTCAATATTGTATTTGTCCTTTTATGACTGGGGCTTACTTCACTTAGCATAATGTAATATCTTCAAGCTTCATCCATGTTGTAAAATGTATCAGAATTTAATACTTTTTAAAAGCTGAATAATATTCCATTGTATACATACATCACATTTTGTTTATCCATTGATCCATTGATGGGCATTTGGGTTGCTTCCACCTTTTGATTATTGTGAACAATGTTGCTATGAATGGCAACATTGCTCTATGTCTGTTTTTATGCCATTATCACACTGTTTTGATTACTGTACCTTTGTAGTAAATTTTGAAATATAAAAGTGTATGACCTTCAACTTTGGTCTTTTACAAGATTGGTTTGGCTATATGCGGTTCCTTGAGATTCCGTATGAATTTTAAAATGAATTTTTCTATTTCTACAAGAAACCATTGGAATATCAATATGGATTGTATTGAATCTGTAGATTGCTTTGGGTAGCACTGACATCTTAATAACATCAAGTCTTCCAATTCATGAACAAAGAGTTTTTCCATTTATTTGTGTTGTCTTTAATATTTTTCAGCAACATTTTATAATTTTTAGTGTATAAGTTTTTCATCTCCTTGTATATTAATTCTTAAATATTTTTCGTCTTGTTTTTAGCTGGGGAGAGGCTATTATAAATTGAATTATTTTCTTAATTTCCTTTCTAAATTATTCATTTCTAGTGTATAGAAATGTAACTGATTGTTTTAATGTTGATTTTGTAACTTCCTGAATTGGTTCAGTAGTTCTAGCAGATTTGTATGTGTGAAATCTTTAGGGTTTTCTACATATAAAATGATGTGATCTGTGAACACAGATAATTTTACTCCTTCCTTTCAAATTTGGGTGCCTTTTATTTTTCTTGCCTAACTGCTCTATGAATTCTAGTACTATGTTGATTGAATAAAAGTGGCAAAAGTAGGCATCCTTGCCTTGTTCTGGGTCTTAGAGAAAAACTTTCAGTCTTTGATCATTGAGCATGATTTTTGAGCTATAAGTTGTTCACATATGGCTTTTATTATGTTGAGATAGTTTCTTTATAGCCCTAATTTGTTGAGTGTTTTTATCATGAAAGGGTGTTGAACTGTGTCAAAGGCATCAAATCTGTATCAATTGAGATGATTGTGTGTTTTTATTTCAATTATTCATTAATGTGGCATCTTACATTGACAGATTTTTGTATATTGAACTATCCTTGCATTCCTGGAATAAATCTTACTTGATCATGGTATGATTTTTTTAATATACTATGAATTTGGTTTGCTAGTATTTTGTTGAGTATTTTTGCATTAATAATCATAAGAGTTGTTGACTGGTGGGTAGCATTCTTGTGTGGTATTATCTTTGGCTTTGGTATCAGGTAATGCTGGCCTTACAGAATGAGTTATGAAGTGTTCACTCCTCTTTAATTTTTGGAAGAGTGTGAAAAGGATTGCTGTTAATCCTTCTTTGAATGTTTGGTAGAATTCACCAGTGAAGACAACTGGACCTGGGCTTTTCTTTGTTGGGAGATTTATGATTACTGATTCAATCTCCTTATTAGTGATAGGTCTATTCAGATTTTCTATTTCTTTATTATGATTCAGTCTTAGTGGCTTGTGTGTTTCTAAGAATTTGTCCATTTCATTCATGTTATCCAATTCACTCTTATAATCCTTTTTTTTTCCATAAAATCAGTAGAAAGGTTTCCTCTTTCATTTCTGATTTTAGTTATTTGAGTCTTCTATTTGTTAATCTAGCTAAAGGTTTGTCAATTTTCTTTTAAAAGAGCCAACTCTTGGTTTTGTTAATTTTTTTCTATTGTTTTTCTTATTCCCTATCTCTAATCTTCATTATTTGCTTCTTTTTGCTAGCATTGGGTTTAGTTTGTTCTTCTTTTTCTACTTCTGTAATGTAGAAATTTACATCATTGACTTGAGACCTTTTTTCTTTTGTAATGTAAGCATTTACAGCTATAAGTTTCCCTGTTAGCACTACTTTCACTGCATCCTATTAGTTTTAGTATGTTGTGCTTTCATTTTCATTTGTCTCAAGATAATTTCTCATTTCCCTTGTGATTTCTTTTATGACCCTTTGGTTGCTTAAGAGTGTGTTCATTTCCACACATTTGTAAATATTTCTTTTTTTTTCTTCTGCTATTGACTTCTAGTTTCATTCCATTGTGATTAGAAAAGACACATGGTATTATTTTCAATCATTTACAATTTATTAAGGCTTATTCTGTTATCTAACATATGGTCTATCCTGAAGAATGCTCCATGTGCACTTAAGAAAAATACATATTCGTTGTTGGGCATAGTGTTCTATATATGACTGTTAGATCTAACTTGTCTACAGTGTTATTCATGTCCTGCCTGTCATTATTGATCTCTGTCTGGTTGTTCTATCCATTACTAAGAGTGGGGTATTAAAGTCTCCTACTATTATTGTAGCCAAGAGCTTTTTCTATAGGTTTTTTGTGTGGCAAACTTTCTGAGGCTTTATGTGGCTGAGATTATTTTTATTGCACTTTTATATTTAAATAATGACCTGGATAAGCACAAAATTCTAGCTTTATAGATATTTTTCTCTTTCAGTACTAAAAAATATATCTTAATTGTCTTTCTGCTGATGTTTTTGAAGTGTCTAAAATGAATATGTTATCTGTTTATTTGTAAATGATCTTCTGTTTCTCTCGGGAAGTTTTAGAAATTTTCTTTATCTTTGATATTCTTAAATTTTACTATAATGGGTCTAAGTATCAAAATTATTCCAATAATAGTAATGTGTATTATTTAACTGTACAAGACTCTATGTAATCTCCATGTTTGAGCTAAAATTTTTGGACATGTTAATGTCTTTGGGTTTTATGAGGGCAGAAACGCAGAAACTTGTCTTTCTGATCCATGGCTGTATCTTCAGTTGCCAGCATACGGTAGGTATGCTAAATAAGTATTTGTTGGATGAATGAAATGACTAAATAGACATCTAGGTAACTGATAACTTTTCTAAGATTATCTAAAATTTATTAATATTTTTTGTAATTTATCTCAATAACTGGAGAATTTTTATAGCAAAAATGTAAGAAATAGATATTTAATAGAATTTAACACTAAACTGAGTTAGTTCTAGTAAATGGTTTACAGGTTATATGAGATACAAGAAAATACATAGTTAAGAAATGAACCATGAAAATTATCATTGGCGTATACACTCACACCTAAAGTCTGAAAAATACTAGTCCTGGTCAAAAGGGCATTTAGCATGTACTTATATGGTATAAGTCACTGTGTAGGTATCACACTGTACTTGGTCTATAGCCCTTTCTTCTCTACTAAACTGTGGCCAACTTGGAGGAACCATGTTTTTGAAAGATAATGCAGATGACAAAATTTGTACTGTGGTCCTATAGACTTGTGATATACACCACTATATGATAATTACAATACTTAAAAGTGGAAAGAATATCCATTTATATCAATGAATGTTAAATTAAAAGATAAAAGTAGAAGCAAGAATGGGGACTTTCTTTAAATCATCTCTGTTATGGTTTTGGGCTTATTTTGCTTTGTGAAATGATTATTTTCTAATGACATTAAACCATGTATGAACCTCTCACCACCACCATCATCTGCTTTTCTTAACTATCATCTAAAAGTATAGCATTAATGTCTACCTTTACTGGCCATGCACATTGGCAGGGTGCCACAGACAAGAAACTGACATACTCTTTCTTGAAGAAAATTAATAAAAAGGTTGCTAGAAAAAGAAAAGATAGATCCTCTCATGGTTGTGAATATAAAAAGCCTAAGGATAATTCACAGCCATAAGAGGCATCATTGTGCTAACATTGGTAAATGCAAAAAAGACCTTCATAAAATGTTTTGCATTGTGAAATTCGTGCAGGCTTCCAGATATTGAGAACCTATTTGTAAAACTGAGCTATATAAATAATTAACAGTAAGAAAAATAAAGCCCATGTTTTTCTACAGAAATTGAATGAATTATCGAAATTTGAGAAGGTGTTAACAGTCTCAAAAATATGAATTCTTTGGGTTTTGCATTTCCACTGTGCGAAAGTGGTGTGGGATATTTCAACCAGTCTGTCAAATAATCTTTGCATAAATTGAAGAGAGCAGCTCCCCTGAAAGAGTTGCTTTATATTAAAAAAAATAGTATCCAGTTTAAAAATAAACTCATTTACCTTTTACATGCTTTTCATATTTCCCTGTCTTAATTAATTCCTCAAGTTAATTTCTTTTCAACCACATACTGTCAATTCCCAGATCATGCTATTTCATTCAAATGTAGCAATGGATTTAAGGCAATGCGATAAAAATGACCCGTGTAAAGAAAACATAACATTATATTGGCATTCAGAATAAACTATTCAAGTCTGCACATCCTGTAATGGCCATACAACTCCCTTTCATCATTGTTTAATGGTACCTAACGTGTTGCTCACTTTGGGAACATTTTTGAAAAGTGAAACTTTGCCAACCATCTTTACAAAGTATATAGATACACTTTAAAATTTGAATTTAAAAATTTAAAATCATTTCTCTATAGCTTCTATTTTGAAACAGTTTACCTTTCTTGAAGAATTTAAGCAATGCAACTTCAAGGGAAGTCACCAAAGATGAGGTGATGTGGCCTAAAATAAGTGACAGAAAAGTTATCTTCAACAAAAATCACATAGAATTTTAGACTTGAAATGAACCCCACAGGTCACGTAATCTGAAGACCACTAGGGGAGCCCATGGTAAGGACAGAAAAAAATTTTCACCCTTTAATATTTAATATGATCCAGATATTTAATGTTTCTATCCTGCTTAGCAAAAATAGGTAAAGTATTATAAATCTACATTTTTGGGAATTATCTTAGTGTTATTAAAATGTAATTCCATTACTTTAACTAGAATCTTTATAGGGGAGGAAGATTGTATTATGAATATGTAATGAATTTTTTGGAGTTTAATTCCTTGGAAAAATATATCTTTGTTATTATTTTCCTAGATGGGCAAAAGCATTTTTATGGAACTTATGTCAGCAAACTTTCTATGCCTCAATGTTTCTGGATATATATTTGACGGAAAGGAGTAAGGATTAAGTCCAAGTATTATTTGTTAATATTTTATCTGAAATCATATTCTATTTTCAATCTAGCTTTCAATAGTTCTGGCATTTTAAAATGTCATTGTAATGATGCCTGTATTTGTTGTATTTATTTAAAACAATAATAATCTATTTACATTTTAAACAACCTACCTTTGTTTAGGCTAAGAAAGTTGAATAACGTGTTCTTATATGGATATATTAGTATTTTATGCTTATTATTTTCATAATAAGTGAATCATATATGGTATAGACCTCTTATGTTTCATGCTCATATCTTTTTCATGTGTCATTAAATTAAAACCTTATAAAAATTAAAATCTTATGTTAAATAAAACAGAAGTATGCCAAGAGGAATGCTCTGAACATAATCATGTAGGCATCATTAACAAGCAAATTTTGACATGTAAACAATAAAATACAGTTCTATTTATTTAAAGAGTTAGAATAAAGTCATGTCTAGTAAGACAACTACTTTGTATGTACTTCTACAAATGGTGTAATTATACCACTTCCTTTATCATTCTGCTCCTTTACCACCTATTTGGTATTTGATAGCTGTGATGGGTTAACTGGAAAATTTGAAAATGTGAAAAGAGCTTGTTGGATTGTTTTTTATTTTTCTTTCTTTCTAAATTTAAACATTTCTAACAGTTTTTCAGTTTAGTTTTTAATTTACTTGAAATTTAACTTTGTGTGTACTATTAGATAGAATCCAACCTTACTTCCCTCCTCTGTGAAAAAACAATCGTCCCAGCACTATTTATTGAACAGTTCCTCCTTTCCTTTTTGATGGCTTATCAAAATTGCCTTGATCATTCCTGACACTTTGGACTTTTATATAAACTTTACAATCCACGTGTCCAGGGGAAAAACCCTGATAATAATTTGGCAAGGCATTGCACCATAGATTAATTTGGAGAAAACTGACATCCTTATCATATTGAGTTTTCATACCATGAATATGGTATATCTCTCATTTTATGTAGGTTTCCAAAATGGCTTATTACTTCTATAAACATCTTGCACACATTTTAAGATAGTTAGTAGCTATTCTTATATATTTTTGGTTGCTACTGTAAAAGTACCCTTTTAAATTGATATCTTCTAATTTGTGTTGCTAGTGTATAGGAATGCAATTGATTTTTATAAACTGCACTTGTATCCACTAACCATGTTGAATTCTCTTATTCTAAAAATTATTTGTACACTCTCTTGCTTTTTATGTGAATGATCATACTATTTGTGAATAATAGCAGTTTTGAGTCTTCCTTTTCAATATCTATAATTTATATCCAGCATTCTTTTAATATTGTAATGACTAATACCAATGTTGAATCAAAGTAGTGATAACAGATATCATCATGTTCATGGTTTTAAAAGGACAGTGTTTAACATTTCATCATTAAGTACGGTGCTTGCTACAGGTTTGGAATAGATACCCTTCATTGTGTTAAGGAATTTTCCTTCTATTGCTATTTGGCTAATATTTGGTTGAGTTTTACAAAATGATTTTGCTACTGAGATATTCTCATAATTTTTCTCCTTTATTAATGTGGTAAATTACACTACTAGATTTTTCCAGTTGTAAGGTACACTTGCATTTCTGAGATAAACTCAGCTTGGTCATGGTGCATTATTATTGTTACTATTATTTAAAATTAGATTTGGTTGACAATATTTTGTTTAGAATTTTTGCATATAATTACTAGTGAAATTTGCTTGTAATTTCATTTGCCATGGTGTCCTTATTACAATAAAATTTGCTATCAAGATTTAAGCAAATGGATAAAATAAGTTCTGGAGTGTTCCTTATTTTGTATTCTCTGGAAGAGTTTATACAATATTAGACTTGCCTATTCCCTTTACTATTTGGTAGAACTTCCCTGTATAGCCACTTGAATTGGGTCTTTTCTTTGTGGAGAGATCTTAAATCACTGCAGCCTTGAAATCCTGGGATCAAGTGATCCTCCTGCCTCAGCCTCTCAAGTAGCTGGGACTACAGATGCTCCCATGCTAGGTTGATTTTTAAAATACATTTTTTTGTAGAGATGGAGTCTTACTATGTTGCCCAGGCTAGTCTTGAATTCTTGGCCTCAAGCAATTCTACTTGAGCCTCCCAAAGCACTGGGATGACAGGCTTGAGGCCCTAGTATTACATACCTGGCACCTTGAAGGGACATTTTCAATCACTGACTCAAGTTTCTCCAACAGTTACAGATTTATTCAGGGCTTCTTCTCCTTTTTAATATATCTTTAAGGAGATAAACATTTTAAAACTTTGGAATAAAATTTTTTGTAATATACTGGCACATTTTTCTAATCTTTGAATTCTCTCTAGTGTTGTCCTACTTTTCATTCCTAGTCTCTATTTTTCTTGATGTATTTCACCAATGGTTTGCTTTATTAATCTTTTCAAAGAATTAACTTTTGGCTTTGTTCATCATCTCTATTATGTTTTTTATTACTCTTTCATTAATTTCTGTTGTTTCCTTTTATTCTATTTTCCCTAGAATTAGTTTGTTGTTCTTTTTAAAAATTAAGTTAGAAGCACAGATATTATTTTTCAGCTTTTATTCTTTTTTAATATAAGCATTTATTACACTCTAAGTACCAATTTCCCATAAACTTTGATATGTAGTATTTCTATTAATATTCAGTTCTAATGGATGTTGAAACAGCAGGACTCATGGGATGAAATATGAATATAAGTTCATTTATTTGTACGATACTCATTCAAATCCACTTTGAGAGCTATTTTTTTTTTCTCCAGACTCTTGAAAGGAAACTAGAAAAAGTTCCATGATTCCTCTGGTCTCTCTCAATAATAAAAAATCCTGTGGTTGCCTTTAGCCACTAAAAACAGACAAATAAAAAGTCTCAGTTTGCTAGTTAATAAATCCATTGTAATACAAAAATTAAGGCTTCAACACTCATTCAAACTTAAAGACTTCCCCTTTCAGAGCTTACACTTGCTACAGGCAAGTTGTTTTCAGTGGAAAACACAGGGGTGATTTCTTTTATATGATTTATACCTTTCCTTCCTCTCCTACTTTCTAGGTTGCTTCTGACTTCTTTAAGGTTGATTTGGGAAAAGGGAGATAAAGTAAGGAACAAGAAAGTTCTTATTGAACTAGTACTGCCATGAGATTGCATACAATGGTTGTTTATCAATTTTGTTAGGCTAAATCATTCTTTCTTACATTTCAGCTCTTTTGAATTCAAAACCCTTTAAAAGATCCTATAGTGACAATCCACTGGTGCTAAGTGTTCATTGGTTCTGTCTGAAAACATTCTCATTCTGCCCTCATTGAAGTTCTATGAATTCTAGGTTGGCAGTTATTTTCTCTTTGAATTTTGAAAGTTACTAGCCCATTGTCTCCAGCCTTCATAGTTACTATTGAGAAGTCTGTTGTTGTTAAATTGTCATTATATTATAGATAGGTAATCTGTCTTTTGTAAAGGCTGTTTCAAGATTGTTATTAATACTTTCTAACTTTCTTTCAGTGTGTCTAACTACTGATATATTTTTTATTTATACTGCAAGCAATTTGTTATAGTTCCTGAATCTAAGGATGGCAGTTATGATTTCTTTGAACATTTTTCTCCCCCCAGTCTCTCTATTCACCACTCTGGAAATCCAGCTAGATGTATTTCAGACCTTTGCCTTCTAGGTTCTATATCTTTCTTTCTTTTGTATTTTTCATCTCCTTGACATTTTGCCCTGCATCTGGGGTCATTTATTTAGATTTTTCAGTTTGTGAATTCTTTATTAAGGTATGTTTTAATTTGCTCTTTAACATAGCATTGAGTTTTCAACTTTAATAATCAGAATTTTTATTTCCAGAAGTTCTGGTTCTTTTTAGAAATCTATTTGGTGTATTTTAATGCCTTGTTTCCTTTCTCATGTTTTCAGCTCAGTTTTTAAAATATCAATAAATATTTTAACCATATTTAAAAAAATTTGCATCTATTACTTTCATTAGCTTAAATTACTATTTCTGTGCATGCTTTCCCTACTGGCTCTCATTCACAATGGCTTGTTTCTGTGTGTCTTATAGTTTTAGCATTGTGAATTGTTAGATGGAGCTTTATCTTTGGGAGTTCTGAGGAGTCTTTGTTTTGATATGCTTTCCTCTAGAAAGCACGTGCTTGCTTCTTTCTAGCAACCTGGATGCAATTAACCTGGCATTACATTATGCTATTATCTTGGCTTGGTACCATGTTTCCCCAAAAATAAGCCCTAGCAGGATTTTTACACATTTGCGCAATATAAGCCCTACCCCGAAAATAAGACCTAGTGATGGGCGTGGCTACGCAGCGTATCTGCACAACCCATGCATTTCCTTGCAGAACAGTAAAGATGAGCAGCCCTTCTCATCTGCCCCATTGTGACAACTACTATCCCAGAGGTGACCGGAAAGGTGCGGGCAGCCCCACTAACAAGGTCAGCTCCCCTGTCAGATCCCGGCCATCCTGTGTGTGCTGCAAGCTGAGGCTTTGAGGGGAAAATAACATATCCCCTGAAAATAAGTCCTAGGGTGTCTTCTTGAGGAAAAATAAATATAAGACTCTGTCTTATTTTGGGGGAAACATGGTATTTTCTACCTCATGAAGACTGTATAAATTCAAATCCTAAATTTGTTTGAGGGCATGGCTGTGGTTTCAAAATTTCAGAGGAAATTAATATTACCCATAAAAAATCCCATGCCAAGAGAGATAATTCTCTCTTCTTCATTCTCCTTTTCTGCTGTCCAGATTTTTCTTCTAGCCCACCATTTCAATAAGGATGTTACCTTTCAAGGTTTCTGATTTCAAATGAGAGTCTCAGGTCCAATGTGGGACCTTAAGAACATGTCTTCTGTTCCCATAAGACTGTTAAAATTTAGACCAATTTGTTACAGAGCTGGGCAAATCCCTCCAGGATAGCAGTGGCATAAATGCAACCTTAATCAACTAATTTTGAGCTCCCTCCTTATTTTTGGTCTGTGAGTATTGCACATTCTTTTTTAAAAGCTCAGCTATGCATTTTGAATGTTTTTTATAAAAATATTGCAACCAGTAGTTCTTGGTGTTTTGTTGCAAGATTTTAGGATTATCTGACATGAGATATTAAATGTTCCATGAAATAGAATCACAGGTGTTAATTATTCAAATCTAAAAGTCCCTCCTGTACAATATTTTTATAGACCAATCATATTGGAATGAGAGGAATTGTGCTCTAGTCTTGACTTTGTTATTTGCTATTTGTGACTTTAGGTAAATTATTTAACATCTCTTAAACTATTTCATTATCTTTAAATTAGAGCACTGAATAAAGTGATCCCTTAGATTTCAAGTTTTAATATTCATTGAGTTCATGAAGTAAAAATGGTGTTGGTGAATGTTCAAGATGTAGTAATATTCATTATATGGGATGATGACATATTTCTAACATTAACCATATATCTTTACTATACGTGGTTCAATCCTCAAATTTTCCTTTCTTTGGCCTGGGTTTTTTGTTGTATTTTGTTTTTTAAATTGCGGTTAAAAAAATAACATAAAATTTGCCCTCTTAACTATTTCTAAGCATACAGTTCAGTAGTGTTAAGTATATTCACATTGTTGTGCAATGCCCAGTTTTTAAACTTTAAGATTTAGGTTATTTGTGGCAAAGGACACATCTATTCTATCTCCTTTCTCTTGCCTTGACTCATCTCTTCTTCCTTTCTTTCCATTGGCTGGAACAACGTATTAAGGGAGAAATGCTACAACCTAAAATTATCTAAAACTCAAAGACTCAATTTCTTGTATTGTTTTAGGTCTTCATATCTATTTTTTTCTTGAGCCTTTTTGCTGGATAAACTCACAATTTTGGAGATCAACCACATATGGATATGTATTTGACTTTAGCAGCATGAACATAAAGAGATTATTTTTTGATAAAATATTAGAGAATTTAATCACCTTTCTCAAGAGTCTCTTTGATATTGAAGTAATATTCTTTCTTTTGAAATGCCTATGCTATCATCATCTGTGTTATTTTTTCATTTTGCAGTTTTAATTGGTTTAATTGTGCCAGATGTTCCTTTGCCAATGGTTTTACAGGTGATACAGTTATCCAACAGCACATACATTAACTTCAGGAATTCTTGATATTTTACAAGATTTTCAATTTCACTTTGCAGTGACTGGCATCATAGTGTTGGATGTTGACAACATCAGCACTTTGAAAAGGATGCCAATGCAGTGAGTAAGGACAAAAGCTATTGTTAAGTAGAGGAAGGAACGTTTAAGGATGCCTAATTGTATGAAGCAATGAATTCACTAAAACATATTTTCATGTCATGATTATTTCTGCTTCACTATACATCATAACCATGGTGGTTATGAAAATGAGGAACCTTCTTCTTTTGTTAGCCACAAGGGTATTCCTTTAACTAGATGATAACTTTTATTTTAGTCAAAATTTACTTCTGAATTTGTCTTATCACTTCTATTTAGAGTTCAGCAGTGTAAAGATTTACATATTAAATCAATGGATCTCTGGATAAAATAAGATAATATTATACAACTATCATTCCTTTTGGGGGAAAAAAATCAAACTTCTTCTCTGGTAGTCACAGGAAAAAAAAAGCTTGATTAAAATCTCCATTTGCCATCTTAATTTTAAAGCAAATGTGAAGAGTTTAAGTAAAACATATATACATATATATTTCATCAATTCCAAGAAACAAGGTTTTCTAGATTTTAAGATTTCCAAAATCACGATGTATATTACAATTATAATCAGCAGTGGTTTTACTTTTTTTAAGCTGTACATAAAATGTCTTATAATTCATGGTGTTTTAAGTCAGAATCTACTCTAAAATTCTAATTTAATAAAATGTACTACCAACTGTTAGCCAAAATATTATTAATAAACTGAAGCAATTGCTATGCAGAATGTGCATTTCAAGTGGATGCATTCAAATGCATTCAATGCATCCACTTGAAATGAATGCATTGATAACAATAAGAGCAATACATACATTCCTTAAATCCAAGCACTGTTTTAGGAGTTTGACTTAATTATCTTATTTCCTACAATTGCCCTTTTTAAGTAGGTTATTATTATCAGCCTGATTGTTATGGTTACTGTGAGGACACTGAGACACCGAGAAGTGACCTGGCTAACATCTTCCACATAGCAGATGAATTAGATGTTTCTCTTAAAGTTTTTACCTTCTGGCAAGCAAACAAATGATACTGTAGAGGAAGCATTTTATGAAAACATACTACTAATTTTTAGTATCTGCCAAAGAACTGAGATCTATTTGCACAGCAAATAGCCATATAGTTTTCCTAATTAAGGCCCTGCAGCAGGCAGAATAACTATCTTTTCCAAAGGCTTCATCTCCTAATACCTGGAACCCATGAATATGCTACCTTACATGGCAAAGTGACTTTACTGATGTGATTAAGGCTGTGGACTTCGGAAAGAGATTATCCTGGATAATCCAGGTGAGCCCTTAAAATCAAAGAATCTTTCCCAGCTGTAATCAGTGAGAGACCTACCTGACTATGGAAGGGTTATCAAAATGCAACATCACTGGCTTTGAAGATGAAGAAGGAAAACTGACCAAAGCCAAGTAATGCAGACAGAGGCTGGAAAGGGCAAGGAAATGATTCTCCTGTAGAGTTAGTTTCCAGAAAGGAATGCAGCCCTACTGACACCTTGATTTTAGCCTAAGGAGACTTGTTTAGGATTTCTGACCTACAGAACTGTAAGATAAATTAACATTGTCTGTAAGATACATTTGTGCTATCTGAAGCCACCAAGTTTGTGGTAATTGGTTATAACAGCAATAGAAAATGAATACAAGCCCATTCAGGCTAACCTAAATCAATGAAATATTTATTTCATTTAACGAAAACATTTTAACCTGTGCAGGGACCATTTCTGAATTAATCTTTATTGTCTGGAAAGGTGCCAGATAGGCAGCATCTATTTTTTTAAACTCCTGAGCGGTATGCTGCCCTGAAGATGCGTACACAGTGTGGATGGCTTGTTCAGTTTCTCCAAAATGTGTTATACGAACCACTGGTAGCTTCAGAAGGTACAAACACTTTTTAAATCGTATTTTTATGTTTACCGTCTACGTATGGCCAGTATTGCTGGTTTTGTACTTAAAAGAAGTTATTTATGATTTACTGGAAAGTGTGCGACCCACGAAAACGCGTGATTTCACTCGGCCTCCTGTGGGTGTGCTGGGGCTGCACTCCAGGAGGGCATTCGCTTCCTCAAGCTGGGGGGCGTGCTGCAACACGATGAAAGAACCGAGCCCACATTTAAGTGAGAGCGCGGGACGAAATCTGCCAGGCCTCCACACTCCTTACCAGCTGCGAGAAAACCGACGCACGTGCAAACGCACCAAACTCTCCTTCCCTCTAAGCAGCAAGATTCACGCCACCCCAGCCAGCGACATCAAACCTCGCGACACTTGCAAATATCGCGGACCTTTCTGTTCCCGGGCCTCCGTGGGAAGAGTCGGCAGGCGAATTGCTCCGCTCACGTTTAAGATTTTGTTCTCGCGAGATCCCGGTGACATTTCTGAAGTCTGTTCTCGCGAGAATTTCCAAGTTAGGCAGTGGGCAGTAGACCGAGGCTAGACAGGAGAGGGAGATTTAGGGGCCGTGGAGCCCGCATTCTGTCCTCACCCGGCGGCGAAGCACGAGACGACTGGGTGAAACCACGCCTTGCCAGCCTCACACAGCGCCCCCGGGCTCTGCTGCTGCTTCGCCGCCGCCTTTCGCTTTTCCTGGGGTCCCCTCAGGTTCTACCTTTGCTGCCCCTCCCCAGTCCTGTGGCTTAGGGCTCCTGGGGAGCGATGTACGGAGGCCGGCGGGGAGTAGCGTTGGCCGCGATCGGCCCGCAGACCCGCCTCCTAGCTGTCCTCCGCCGCCTTCCGGGTGTTAAATGCAGCCGGGCTGCCAGGCCCCGCCCCCTGGCCAGATGGATCCCTCTGCCCCGACGCCCCGCGCAGAAACCGCCCGCAAAGGTATAAGCTCCGCCGAGCTCGCCTCTCTGCCCAGACGCCTGTCTGTACAGCGTTGCGTTGGACCTCCTCCTGCCAGCGCCCTTTGGTTTGGGTTTTGCCCTGTGGCTCCTCTGAGTGACAGCTGCAGATTGTGAACCTCTCCCGGGGTTGAGAACCTGGATTCTGGAGTCATACAGCCCTTGGATCTAGTTCTAGCTCTGACAGTTAACTTGCTGAGTACTTTTGGGCAGCTTCCTCATCTGTAAAGTTGGGTTAATTGCTGGTTCTTGTGATTATTAAATGAGAGGGGGTGTGCAAAGCATTTATGTGACCCGGCGTCTTGCCCATAGTAGGCACTCAGTAAATTTGTATATTTTAATTCTTTACTCCTTATATGCCTTCGTTGTTAGTGAATGGTACACGTTTGTTGTTAAGTATATGAATGAAGGTGGAGATATTTAGTTCAGTTTACTTTTATTGAACTATATGATGTATTAAGTCAGGGCCATGTATTCCACCTTTAATGGGTCACCAAGAGAGGGTTGAAAGAAGGTGTAGTCTGCCACAAGTCATCTGGGATGTATTCTGGCCCCCAAATTCATGGCTTCCATTAATGATAGTGATATAACAAAAGTTAACAGGTATTGAGTGATTGTTCTGTGCCCAGCAGTCTGCTGATTATTTATCTACTTGCTTTCCTTTGAGGAATATATCTATTTTATTAAATAGGTGAGGAATTCAGGGCTAAAGCTGAGAGAGAGTAAGTAACAAGCCTGAATTCTGAGGGCTAGGAATTGATGATGCTTTAATTCAGGGACCATACATGTTATATAAATAAATACATATAGTAGCCTGGCAGATAAAAATAAATGCCGAATGGTGATTATGGTGACTTGGATGCTCATTCCTCTGTTAAATTTACTGAAAGAGGATTGGTGGAAGGAACAGAAAGCTCAAGGCCCTGAGGTGAGAGCGTGCTTGCTGTGGTTGAGTAATAGCAAGGAGGCCAGTTTGGAATGAAAGAGGGAAAGAGGGACAGATCATAAGGAGCCTTACCTTCATTCTCTGTTAAATCCAACAGGGAATCCTCCCAATTTAAGCAATATGTTCTGGAGTTTGGATACTGAGAGATTCCATTCCTAGCTTGAACTTAACTGAATCCATGTAGTTTTAGAAATTATCCAAACTAAGGAACCAAAAAGGTTCCCATAAATTGTGTAATGCCCTTAAGTCTTTTTGCACATGTTGTACCAACTGGATACTCTTCTTAGACGCCCTTCCCTTTTAAATTATGTTTTCCTATGCTTCTCATAACACTCTGTTCTCCTCTTCCAACATACTTTTTATAATTACATATGTTTGTGTACTTTTTAGATTCTTTCTTGCTAGATACCAAGGATCTGTGAAATAAAGAATCTGTTTTCATAAATAAATTCAGCACATGTTTATTGAGTTTCTGCTGTATGTTGGTCATGGGGATAAAATTTTGAATAACACAGACTTTTTCTTTGAAAAGAAATTACTCTCTAGTGGAAGAGAAAGATAAAAATAAGTAGACATGGTAATTAAACATTATGATAAGTGCTACAGAGGCGATACAATACTGTGATAAAGAATAATAGGGCACTCTTATTCTAAATAAGGTATTTAGTATTATGTAAGTATTATTCTAAATACTCTTATTTTAAATAAGGTAGACTGGGAGCAAAGAGACTGGTTAGGAATAATTTAGTTAAAAGCTGATGGTGGCATGCTTTAGGGCTGAGGTCAGCAAACTATTGTCTGTGGGCCAAATGTAGTCTGACACTTCTTTTTGTAAATAAAGTTTTATTGGAACACAGCCATGCACATTTGTTTATGTATTGTCTGTGTTTGCTTTCGTGTTACAAGGGCAAGAGAATGGCCTGCAAAATCTAAAATAACAAATAGCAAATGTCTGAGTCTTTACAGAAAATGTTTGCTAGCTTTTGATTTAGAGACATGATGACATGGAGGAAAGATACATATTTTGAAGTAGAACCAGGATATTCTGATGGATTGGATGAAAGGAATAATATGAAAAGAGAATTGGGGGCTGTTGGATGGTTTTATGCCTTGAAAAATTGGCTAGATAATGATGCCAATTAATGAGTTGCCAGAAGACTAGTCACCATAATTTTTGACATTGATTTTCTTCATTTTATACCCATTGTGTGGTACAATACCTGGTGAATAATTTGTGCTTAAATCATATATATAGAATAATAATTAATGAATTAAGTCTTAAAAAATGGGAAGACATTTGCTGGGTAAACAGACAAATCCTGTGAAACAGAAATAATGTGTTAAGAATTGCCATGGGGGTCGGGCGTGGTGTCTCACGCCTGTAATCCTAGCACTCTAGGAGGTTCAGGCGGGTGGATCATTTGAGCTCAGGAGTTCGAAACCAGCCTGAGCTAGAGCGAGACCCAGTCTCTACTAAAAAAAATCTAAAGAAATTAGCTGGACAACTAAAAATATATAGAAAAAATTAGCCGGACTTGGTGACACATACCTGTAGTCCCAGCTACTCAGGTGACTGAGGCAGAAGGATTGGTTGAGCCCAGGAGTTTGAGGTTGCTGTGAGCTAGGCTGATGCCACGTGCACTCAAGCCCAGGGAACAGACTGAGTCTCTGTCTCAAAAAAAAAGAAAAAAAAAAAGAATTGTTGTGGGGTTATATTAGGTTTTAAGGCTCAAATAGTAGTACTGTTCTGAAAATAGGGCTCATTGACCTATACGTTGTTTCACTTGTATAGTGGATCAAAGTATTAGTTTCACATTAAAACACTGTCTTTTAGAATAGTATAACAGGCGGGGTGAGGTGGCTCACTCCTGTAATCCTAGCACTCTGGGAGGCTGAAGGTGGAGGATCACTTGAGGTCAGAAGTTTGAGATCAGCCTGAGCAAAAGCAAGATATCATCTCTACTAAAAATAGAAAAAGTTAGCCAGGCGTGGTGGTGTGAGCCTGTAGTCTCAGCTACTCAAGAGGTCGAGGCAGGAGGATGGCTTGAGTCCAGGAGTTTGAGGTTGCTGTGAAGAAGGCTGACACCACAGCACTCTAACCAACAGAGCGAGACTCTGTCTCAAAAAAAGAAAAAAAGACAAAACAGTAAAACAGTTCTCAGTTTGTATCCAAAGATTAGAGTGGGAGAACAAATTTTTTCCTTGTTACTCATGATTGTTATTGTAAAACAACCTTACCAAGGTTAGTGGGAATAATGGCTTTACTTTTGAGGAACAACTGATGGGGAATATAATGAGCTTAAGACAGCATAAACATGCCATGTTATAATCATGAATGTTATAAAAGTCTAACTTGAGGTCATCAGGAAGACCCTAGGGAACTAACAGTGGTCATCTGATCTCAATGAGAAATGTGTAAGAAAAATAATTCCTAGTATTCTGACAGTTGTAGCCATTTAATTCTTGGATTCTTGCCATACAAAATTCCATTTGTAAAATTATTTTTGCTTAGTTTTCTCTATTTGATACCTTTTAATTGTACCAATAGTATACTCTATAAATACCCCCATTCTTAGTGCTATATTTTCTGAATAGAAAATAAAATATGTGGCTATATGGTTAAATACAGAATAAGTTCATATAGGCCAGACTCTTCAAAGAATAATAGAATCTTAGCAGAAAGAAATCTTAGAATTCACCTCTTAAAACCTCAACTATTTAAAACCTGGAAGGGAAAAAGCTATGACAAAGCTGTAATATTACTCTGTAGTTGAACTGGACATTCCCTTGGTTAGTTGTATACAAGTTAAAGCAATGGTTTTGGTCACAGCAGTATTGATAGTGAGAAGCAGCAGCTGTCTCCAGAGCAAGGAGATGGAATAACTGTAAAAAGCAGACAAACCATTAGAGCTTTGCTGTCCAGAAGATTTTAGCTTACTCATTACCAAGTCCTATTCACTATGACCCTACCATCCTATTCATTATTACTTTATCATATCATAAATTATCTCTCTCTCTCTCTACATATATATACATGTATGTGTGTGTGTGTGTAAAATGTTCATAAGTCAGCAAGAATATTTACATCAGTGATTTTAACCCTGACTGTGCATCCGTCATCTTTTGAATTCAACAATAACAACCAAACAAAATAATAAAACCAGATTCCCATGACCTCTCACCGAATCAGAATCACCGGGGTAGTGTCAAATCATGTACATTTTTTTAAAACTTTAGCGGAGATTATGACACATAGCCAGGGTAAGAAACACTTGAAATAAATTATGTTCCCTTTATGCCATTTATTATAGGAGAATATCTGATTATATATTTTAGAGCAATATCTATATGTTATAATTTTACCTTGTCTCAGTTATTTGGAAAAGGTATTTATGTGAGGTACATTATTTTTTTCTCATAGTAGTGGATAACTGAGCTAGATTTG